TTCTACAGGTACGTAGAAGGTTGATATGACAGGTTGATATGTTCGTAATATTGTACTCAATACCAGAAACTTGAAATAGCTATATTTCATTTTTTTTTAATGGAATGCCTCATATTTTTTTATCTTAAATTATTCGTCAAGTAATAAGGTTTCTTTTTTATAAAGCATGTCCTATACCTATTTGCAATAGTTATCAAGTTATTTATAGGACAATAAAAAAGAAACCTTATTACTTGGCGAATAATTTAAGATGGGGTTCCATGGACGTTCCATTTAAATTTACAAAGTTGTACCTTGTACTTTGTTTTTGCAACACCCTGTATAAACAAAAATATTTTTAGGTTATGCACCTTCGAGCACCAAACAACTTTATATATAAACATTTTCTTCTAGCGACACCCTGTAAGGAGATATCGTCCGATATCGCACTAATTGGACACCCGGTATATTGATAGAGGTGATTTTACATCAAAATCATGACGAAAACTTTATATACCTAAAGTCCGGTCCGAAAATACTTCCTAAGGGCGCTAGAGCCCTTTAAAGATGGCACTCAAAAACTACTTTTTTAGCTCAAAAACGACAAGGTTTAGAATGCCGAAATTTGGTGTACAGGAATATTTTTACGTGACAAATATGATAATTAAAAGAAAAAAATTTATGGGGTCCAACATAACACGTAGGGGGCGCGTTTACGGTATCCTACTTTCTTTATCTTTATTTTTCTGCCATTTTAATTGCATCAATCAATTCTGCGGAAAAGAATACATAAAAAAGGTGCTACTTAAAAAATTGTCTAGAACCAGTTGTTTTCAAGAAAAATTGCATTATACAACTTACGGTATTAAAATCAATTTTAATAGTTATTTTTGATATAAGATTGCATTTTTTCGAAAACTGCGTGTACTAAAGTTTATAAATTAATAAAACGATCAAATTCAGTATAATGACATTTAGAATTCATTTAATGTTATATCAAAAACTTAACGTCACATCGATTTAACCTCACTTATTGAACAAATGTACTATTATAAATTTGCATTTAAACATGAAATGAAATGATAAAACTATTAAATGTTGATTATTTTGTGTTTATAATTTGTTCATAACAATAATTAAATTTTTTCTTTTAATTATCATATTTTTCACGTAAAAATATCCCTGTACACCAAATTTCGGCATTCTAGACCTTGCCGTTTTTGAGATAATGCTAAAAGAATACTTCTTGAGTACCATCTTTAAAGGGCTCTAGCGCTCTTAGGAAGCATTTTCGGGCCTGACTTTATATAAACTTTTCCGCATGATTTTTGATGTAGAATCATCTCTTTCAATATATGGACGCAATTTCCGGACACCTGTATGAATGCAGTAACCATAGTTACGAAACTACTATACACTTACACTGTCCCACATAAAATGCAGGCATTGGGCAAGGACAGTAGAATCTAACAGGACTGCTACATCCATTGTATTTTTGTAGTCCACTACGGGTTGGTTGCCCGCACTCTACGTCACACTATTTGCCACGCCTGGTAACTGTCTGTGTTTTTAGAGGTTATATGATAGACATTAATACGTCTAAAAACATAAAACTTCAAAAATAATATGAATACGTCTAGCATATAACCTCTAAAAATACACAGCAAACACATAGACCATAACAACAGCTGGGCGTGGAAAATGGTGTGACGTAGTTTGCGGGCAGGTTGTCACAACAATGGATGTAGCAGTCCTATTAGATTCTACTGTCCTTGGGCATTGGGTAGTTTTGCAAAGGAAACGTTTTCTTGGAAAAAGGTGATGTTCTTATGACACCCAGAGTTTTCGGCCGTCTTAAGAGACGCACGGCTAAACCCGAATGTTGCTGGTTTTAGGTCTGTTTCGTTCAATGAAAATATACCACAATCTAACGCTGAATAACAATAAAATTATAATAATAATAATGGCGTTTATTTTTTGCGCAAATATACATATTATCATACGATAAATAAAAAAATATACAGGTCGCAACTCGTTTGTTTTCGAGCTATGAGCCCTCAAAGTTGAGCGAAAAATGTACATTTTGTTTTGTTTTTCAGCTGTAAGTAAACCGTAGAATTTGAAACTTTGTACTTATTTACTACTGGTTAAGACCTTATTTTCAAGTATACATTAAACTTCCCTAGCGCTCTCTAAGGGGATGAAATTCACCACCCCGTTGATTTTTTTATAAGAACTTTTTAACGCTATGGAATATTAACATAAAAAAATATGGGTTGTAAAGCTTAACATTCGGGTTTAGCCGAATTAGGCTTTTAAAGTTAATGAATTGTCGCCATCGTTTTTTAGGAACTTTCGTCGCGTTGCAATACTAATTTGTGATATTGGTTGTATCACATAAAATGCAATAAATAACACTACTAGAAACATTTGGGTTAGCCGTATGTCTCTTGAGACGGCTAAACTCGAATGATTCTAGTTCTTAGTCTAGCGCTGCGTAACAATTAAAACTAGAATTAACACTAGACCTAGAACAAGAAAGTTTCAGGTTTAGCTGTGCGTCTTCAGACGTATCATTTGGATTTAACCGCACGTCTCTAAAGACGGCTAAACCCGATACTTTCTAATTCTAGGTCTAGTGTTAGTTCTAGTTTTAGTTCAATAAAAATATGCAACATATGATATCTTATGTTAACTAGTGCTACCTACCACTGTCACTAGAACTAACATTAGACCTACCTAGGGCTATATATATGTTGATATGTTGCATTTTATGTGAGATAAAGTAAATAGATCTTTTTAAGTGAAATTCACTGTACAAGAAGCGATTTTGCCTTAAATTGAAGAGGTCGCTTGCGGGCGAGTCACTAGAATTAATATATCAATGCAAAATAGTCGAGTTTGGAGGATTATACCGCCTCACCCACAAGCGACATCGGCAATTTTAGGGTAAATATCATCTTATAAGGGACTTTGCATAATTACTAAGATATATAAGTAGAATTTCGTCTCAAATCCCTGAGGCCGCTTGCGGACGAGGCACAGCAATAAATATATCAAAACAAAATTGTTGACTTTGCAGAATTCTATCGCCTCGCCCGCAAGCGACCTCGGCGGTTTGAGGGTAAATATTATGTTATAAGAGATTTTGCATCGTTATCAAGATATAGAAGGAACAATTTCGCCTCAAATCGCCGAGGTTGCTTGCGGGCAAAGTGCTCGAATTGATATATTAACACAAAATTGTCAACTTTGGAGGATTCTCGCACCTCGCCGGTTTGAGGATTAATTTCTTCTTATAAACGACTTGGTTACTTGAGTACTCACCTCAATCACGACTCAGCTAATTTGAAACACATTCAATATCTACAAAGTAAATGATAACCAATGTCAAAAATGTTTAAACATTTTGACACGAATAGCCAAAAATAACAATGTAATTTAGTTTCTACTCATGCTGTTATATAAAAATTGAACTAAAATAATCCAAAATAAATGAAATTTATTTGAATTTATTTCCTTTTAATATTTACATACACGTGTATATAAAGTTTTTATTATTAGTCCACATAAAAAATATACTAATTTATTAATTGGTATAAAAATATATCAGTACGGTTTTAGGGTCTTAGGAATACAAATTTACGAGTTATAATACTTCTACATTTACTAAAACGTTTTTCTTTGTTAAAACTTAGCCGAGAGTTAGAGAAAGAGAGATCGTACTCGTGTTATTATTATCACAATTACAAAGCAAAATTGACGGTAACCATAATGACGCAACCTACAGCCCAACAAACTACGAGATAAATCCAAAATTTTCCACTAAACGCGCTACGATATTTATTGTTCGAACCGCTCCCAAACTCCTGTTTACAACTTTCGCGTGCCAAATAAACCAACGCGGCAGGTATTATGTACTGAATACAAGCGCCAGCGTACGCCCCGGTAAATTTAACCAAAGAATGCAAATTGTGCGTACTAAACGCAATGGCAATCGGAGGTAGAACGGCGATGGTTGGAAAAGTTAATTTTCTTAAAACAAAGTTGTACCTATCCATGTTATTTACGTCTAAAAATAAAGCTTTTAAATTATTTTGTAGGGTTATAGCGATTATAGGAAAACTGGTAGAGAGCGTAAAAACTGGGAATAAACTTAAAAAATATAATATAATTTTCATAAAAATTCCGCTATAATCGCCGTTATTTGGTAAAAAGTTTAACGTATATAAATCATTTAATTCCTTAAAAGCAAACGTACCCGTTAAAGCTAAAAGCAGGTAAAACATACAAATTAAAACGTAATCAAGACCAATTTGTCTTACTACATATTGTTTCTCCGAAAACGGAGCCACTAAACCCGGTAACGAATGGTGACACATAAAACTATAAACGCTAGCGCCTATCAGTGCAGGCACACCGTCGAAATCGAACATTAACGGATGTCCCATCGCCCCATTCTTCGCCAATCGAACACACGCCAAGGTAACCATTATCATAAAAGCACACCATCTCATCGTAGTGGTGCACAATTGTAAATACTTCGTTTTTTGTACGTTAAAATAGGTAAAAGGACAGACTAGTATAGCAAAAAAGACGACGAAAATCCGATAAATATCCGCCTTTTCGATTGGCGCGTCCTCCCAACACGGAGTTCCGAAATCTTCGGACGTCGCATTGGAAGTACACGCTATATCAGAAAGGGATTTTGCGACGGCAGCCGCGTATATCGCGAGANCAGGTAAAACATACAAATTAAAACGTAATCAAGACCAATTTGTCTTACTACATATTGTTTCTCCGAAAACGGAGCCACTAAACCCGGTAACGAATGGTGACACATAAAACTATAAACGCTAGCGCCTATCAGTGCAGGCACACCGTCGAAATCGAACATTAACGGATGTCCCATCGCCCCATTCTTCGCCAATCGAACACACGCCAAGGTAACCATTATCATAAAAGCACACCATCTCATCGTAGTGGTGCACAATTGTAAATACTTCGTTTTTTGTACGTTAAAATAGGTAAAAGGACAGACTAGTATAGCAAAAAAGACGACGAAAATCCGATAAATATCCGCCTTTTCGATTGGCGCGTCCTCCCAACACGGAGTTCCGAAATCTTCGGACGTCGCATTGGAAGTACACGCTATATCAGAAAGGGATTTTGCGACGGCAGCCGCGTATATCGCGAGATCGCCGTAAAGGTAAACGCAAAGGGAAAGGTAAAAACTGATTCGACCCCATTTATTAAAATATAACGCAGCTATTTCTCCCAATTCCACCTTTTCGTTCAGAGAATAATAACGGCTGCGTAGTCTTGAAGTTTGAACTATTGCAGTTTGTTCGTTTGTATCTTCCGATTCCGATCCAGAATCGACTATAGCTTCACTCTCCTAAAAATTAATTCATTGATTTAATATAAATTTAAACAAAAATTAATTTATTGTTATATACATAAATAAATAAGAAAAATAATAACACGTCAATATAGTCTCTTTTAGGGGTAAAATGTTGGTAAGGAGTCTTAAGGGGCTGGGTGGGTTGCTGATGTCTATTCAATATTAAAACTTTAAGAAATCCCCATAGGCGTTCGAGCACCAATAGGAATTTTTCTAGCTCTTAAATAAGCAGTACTGATTGGTTAGGGTATGGTAACCTCGACAGAAAAGTCCCTGGTCCTCCAGGTTAGGGATTTAGCCGCACGTCTCTCAAGACGGCTAAACCCGAATGACTCTAGTTCTAGGTCTTGTATTAGTTCTAGTTAGGTTGCTAGTGTAAAATTAGAACTAACACTAGACCTAGAACCAGAAACATTCGAATTTAGCCGCACGTCTCTCAAGACGGCTAAACCCGAATGATTCTAGTTCTAAGTCTAGTGTTAGTTCTAGTTTTAATTGTTATTAAGCGCTAAATTGTTGTCTATTTTTACTGAAATAAAACTATAACTAACACTAGACCTAGAACTAGAAAGTTTCGGGTTTAGCCGTCTTTAGAGACGTGCGGTTAAATCCAAATGATACGTTTGAAGACGCACGACTAAACCTGAAACTTTCTAGGTCTAGTGTTAGTTCTAGTTGTACTTGTTATGCAGCGCTAGACTAACAAGGGAAGTGTCACAACTGTGTCTCACCGATTTCGATGCAATTTGGTACAGTCATAGAATGGGCCAAAATAAGGTTCGCACATTTT